CGTAAGACTTGAAGACAAAAAATTTTTTTCATTCCCGTAACTCATTGTGCCGAACATTTATGGAAAGTTTCGTCAAGATCGGATGCACGGTGTCGGAGATAATTTCTGAGGGGGGGGCCTTAAGCGCTGCAGCGAGATTGCAGTTCGGCCGGTGTTGTAACAAATCAACGACAAACGAATATCAGCCTATGTACTTTTAATGACATTGCTGTTGTTCGATCGGCTGCCGTTCGACCTTGTAGACTTGGTTGTGCCACATGAGTGCTAATAAAGAAAAGCTTGATTTTTGTAACTACAGAATGACAAATTTCTGCCTTTCACTCATGTACCACTATGACACGACAGGCTAAAAATCTTTTTTTCCGATTTCAGTTTTACAGACGTCGAGAAAACACATTTTTGGGTTCGAGTAAAGTTCAAAAGAGAGCATTAACTCCTTTTCAAGTGTTAAAATCACAGAAACGATTTTTATTACGGGTCTGCTGACGAAAAACGTTGCATAATTTTAATCATAATCGAAACAATTAATTCCGGCATTACAGCGCGGCGAGTTACCTGATCGTGTAGGACTGCAGGGCTCTAATTATGAGCATCTAGTGACGTGGCGTCTTGGCAACACGTCATCATTCATTTGCCATAATATCGATGATAGAGGAAGCATCGATTTGATCTGATGCTGCCATTATCAGCAAAGAAGAATCGACAATAGGTCAAGATGCTTCTTCATCATCGGCAGACGATTACTATCACATTCATCATCAATTCACTGTCACGCACGATTTTATGTACGAAACATTGTCGTTGTTTGTTCTCTCAACGGAGATTAGCACGTTAGAAAATCGCATCGTACTTCACTTATGCTATTTGCTGATACCCATTGCATTGCTTACCCTAATGAAAGTATTCCTACTATGAGTACGATTTTACGCATAATTCATCCATGAGTTCTACTAACAATTTTTGAGTATTCTTACTCAATGAGTACTCAGAAAATATTCATTCAATGAAAATGAAACGTAGGATTTATAAAGAACCATAAAATATTTATATTACTTTTTCATCGCTAGACGTGGAGATCAGTGTGATGCCACCGTGATTACTTAGTTTAGGTTTAGTTTCTTTTTCTTCTGTATATATCTCTTTCAATTTATGCTGCATGTGTGTACGTGTTCATCGTTATCACGCCAGATTCAATTGTCGTTCTCGATTTAATCAAGAAAGGTGCTTCTGTTTCAATGAGCTGACTCTCTGGCATTGAGACTGTCTGGTTTCAGACATCTGACATGGCGCTCACGCCAAGACCTTGTTGATAAACTCGGACTATCCGAACTACCTATTGTTCAAGCGTTGATCCACCTTTCTCTATTGACCACCATCATGCCTTTTCTTTGCCGTTTATAGTGTCTATGTCACCTTTCCTCGATGAGTTGCCTTAACACCTTAAGAGAAATTTTTTGATTCAATCGAAAATTTCTCTTATATGCATTTACAAGGTAAAATTTTATTTTGGCTTCAAACTAGTTTCATCCGATTTTTCAGTACAAAATTAGATAGGTATATGAGATGTTTTTTAGCCTTTGAAACCTTTTGGTCATTAAGACAATTGAATTTTTCTAAAAGTACGATCAATTTTTTGAATGCAGTGAGATCAGTATTTTGACTATGAAATCGACAATTTTTTGTTTGAGAAGAGTATTAAAAACTGAACAAAATGATATATTTTCTAGGACAATACAATAAAATTTTAATCGGTATAGGTGGCATTTGTAAATATTCGATCAATGAGTAAGAGAATATTCCGTATCAGTGTTCGGTCATTCACATCATATTTTAAACGGTTTGCTAGAAAAAAAACTTTTTCGCATGTTTTTTCGTCCAAAAAAAACGTGAAAAACATAGAAAAGGGTTCATATTCGTATCTACATAATTGCTATCGATCTGACGCTGATTTCTGATCAACTGATAAACGACCGATCCGATTTCAATTTTTTCAATCGGTTATAACTCTGATGTACGGTACTGCTTTTAGGCACCATAATAGGCAGAATAAAAGGTGATGCTATTTTCTCTCCACGGTATATTCCACTCATAAAAGTTCATAGTGTTCACAAACGTTTATAAGTTTGTTATGATTGTAAAAAGATCATGTTTAAATTTTCCGCTAGTCTTTCAGATAGTTTTGGTATTATTTTTTGACTTTTGAAGGGCGTCTGTTTACTTTTGAAAATAGATGTTGCTCAATAAACATTATCTATTTGCAGTGATTCTACTTCGATTAAAGTTAAAATAACAGATTTCTTCTGTAGATATTTGAATATTTTATAGTTTGTTTTTTACCATTTATGAAAAGTGAAAATGATGAGGAAAGAAGGACTACGTTCATTCAATTGTTCTATATGTGCGAACATCGAATATATTGAATCGATCGTTATTTAATTTGTAGAACAATGGATCGCTAAACGCATGTTAGAAAAATACTTTGGCTAGATATAAAAATTAAAGCTAGTGTCATGCATTTTTCACATCATGCTTGGCATAGAGCCTTTTTATAATAAGTTTTTTTTTCTTAATATGTAGAAATTATTGTGTCAGACGATGAGCAGAACATGAATGATAGTAATATTTCAAAGATACATTTCATTATTTTTCCTGATTGACATTATACAAGGTGAACTTGAGATTTGTTTCGTTTATGTATATATTTTCTGCACTACTGTTTTTCCTGCGTGTATATGTGATGTCATCTACTAAAACTAAATTCATATTACTTGACAATAATAGCCTATGGAAGTGTAGATGTAGTCAACTTTTATTTTTCCATAATTTATTGAATTGTTATTCATGGGTAATTGAGTTTCAGTTTCCATTTTTGCCTTTTTACCTGCCATGTTATATTCTTATTTTGATTCAGAAAATACACACAATCTATCGAAGAAATTTAAACATTTCTTTTACAGTAACTGAAATTTTTTTCACCACTTTCAAATTTACCACTTTCATAATTGATATATACATACATCAATCATCACTATCCATCCGATAAAGACGAGAACAGCGAACTTTTACCCTAATGCTAGAGAGAGTACGGACTATTTTCTTGGTTTGATTGGTTTTAGATATGAATAAAACAACCTGTGCTTATTTTCGGGGATGTTAAACAAAAAGTTTAAGAATTAATAAACTTAAAAGGAGATGATCGTATAATTCATTTGTGTTATTTTACCCAATAATTCTTGAGTCATAGGCAGACAATCATGATTTTTTACGTATTGAAAAATTTCAGCGAAATTTTGAAAAAGTCATCAGATAAGAAGAATTTCTTAACATATTTTGCTGAAAAACTTTCAGAATTTAAGAAAAATAATAAATATTTGTCCAAAACTTTTGTCTGTAGTTGCATCAGTGTCTCGCACATTTAAAATCAACTTTCCAATTGAATCATTAACTTTTTATCACAGTTTAATGCTTTTAATGTATAATACTCATGTGTTTATTTCTATGTTAGTTATATTTCAGTCAATGTAATAAAATACAAGATATTTTATCTCTTCAAATATACATAAAACACTGAGTAGTGTAATGACGTTATTTTTCATATATTTCTAAAACTTGATTTTTCTATATATTAGCAATACTCTATTATTATTTTTTTTTTTTATGTTTATAAAAAGTAGAACTGATCATCAATTGTTAATGTATAAAAAATGTTTAGAATAACTATTTTTCAATTAATAGCCTATCCGTGATGAAGATGGCAATTCAGTATATAAATGATAAAGAAGAGAAGAAAAAAAAAAGTCTGTGCTTTTGATATATATACTTCTTTTCTTTTCCAAGTTCTTTTTTTTTAGATGGGAGATTCTAATAAAAAAATAAAAAAACTTATATATCATTACAATAATAATATATATGTATATATATGTGAAGTGATGAAGACGAGGATGTTAATAAAATAAAGACATTGTTTTTGAAGATTTTGTTGTCATAAATATTTTATAATATTATAAGACGGAAAATTATATGTACTCAAAATAACATTATATACTAACATCAACTAAGATGATCTTCTAATTAAAATATTTTCTACAAAATAATTTTATTAAAACAATTATTCTTAGTTGAACGAGTAGTCTGAAACACTATTAATAATATATTATATTTTTTAATAATAAAAGTTGTTGGATGATGTACTTTTCATTGTTGAATGTTAGTCTGTTTAATTATTTTTAATTAGATATTCTGCTTTCGTCAAGCTTTAATCTATTGATACATTGAATTATTAGTATTATTCTCTCATACATATTGTGTGATATCACAAATATCAGAATAAGAAGTGATTGATCAATTAATAAAAGAAAATTTGAAGAGTGGGGTAACCTTTATGTTTTGCTTGAGTAGATCTTACTTTTAAGTAGATTTAATCTTATAAGTGTCAAAGCTCAAGTACTTTGCATTCACTGTTATTTATCTTTGTTTTATTATTTAAAACGAGCAGTATTCGTGTGTCACAACACACACATACCCATTCATGCTTAGAACTCGGTATAGTGTGCATTTTTCGCATGAAATGCGGACATGTGTGGGTTTTTTTTCGTCGGAAACGTTTCTTTTTGCTTAGAAATAATTGTCTATCACTTAAAGAATAATCTTCAAGCAAGAATAAAAATTCTTTTAAAAAATGTTTTTTTTTCGATCGAAAATTCCTTTTCCTGAAAGTTTTTGAAAGTTTTTTTTTTGTTTAGAAAAGTTTTGAATTATACATCCTTCCATGCAGTTTTTGATGCTGATTCCAAATGTGACATTATCTCGACACTAACAGCTAATTAACTGATATCGGATCGATATCAGTTAATCAGCGGTTAGAGTCGAGATTTATAATTTGTTTCATGCTCTATAAACATTAGACTTTGTAATCCGATACATTGAGCTACTCAGAATCTTTAATTAGACTCTATAGGTAGTTTGAACAGTATTTTATGTTTAAGTTTTCTAAACGTGCTATGCTTGCCGACATAAACGGAAGTAAGAGAATAAAATAAAGTTGTTTTCTTTTCTACTTGGTGATCTTTCTTTTTTTCTTTTTTGATGATTATTCGGATAGATATATGCAATGTTATAACTTACAACTACGTTAATTAATGTAATAAAAAAACAGTCAAATTCGATTTCCAAAGATGAAATCAGTTGCGCATTATCACAATATATTCTCTTGTGTATATGTATACACCTGCTGAAAGATTTTACCAAAAGATATAAATTGGCAAGTAACACTGCATGTTTCTCTACTATCGTCATTAATTTTCTTCATTCCCTAGACAGTCTATTCATTTCTATCTATTAACATCAAAAACCTCGGATAGAACAGATATTTAAATAGCTTTAACAGCGGTGGCACTTATGCACGCTAGTATTCTATCTATTTAAACTTTGATAATAGGAAGGAAACACTTTTCGCAGAAAAATTTATTCATAAATTATTTTGTTGGATTATTTTTAGATTATGAACTTAAACATTGTAAAAATGGATGAAAGATCTTAAAAGAACTGAATAATCGAACATATTAAATTTTAAATAAACTATTATTATTATAATGTCTGATATAGATGAAGTTATTGTCGATCAGAATGCTATAGCAAATTTGACAAAACAACCCTGTAAAAGCATATTAAAATCTGGGAAAAGTATTGATGAAGTAAACATTTTTCAACACTCGCACGATCGTCAACGTCAATATTCAACTGGAATGACAAGATCTGAAAGTAAAAGGTAGTGTAATGATCGATCTACATATTAAAGTGTGTTCATGCACGTTTTCTTTTCTATTTTAGTCATAAAATTCCACATTTTGACGAAATGAATATATTAGCAACATATCATCCAGCTGGAAAGGACTATGGTCATATGAAAATTGAAGAACCGAAAACACCATTCAACAAAGATATAGACGAAGAAATGGAAGTTGATCAAGATGCCATTGATCCAGCTGCATTGGCTAACAAGTAGTTTAATGTTTTTTATTTTAATGAAGAAGTAAGCTATGACGATTGTTGTTTTTTTCTTTTCTAGACTTAAAGATACCTCAACATCGTCCTCAACTAGTGTACATTATCATTCAAGCAGTGTTAGAAGAGAATCATCTGCAAGTTCAGTGGATGATGAACATGAAACACCTGAAGAACGTGGTAAATAGACCCTCAGAAAACGTTGATCAGATGTCTTCAGGCTGTAAATCTAACAAAAACTTTTGTATTTATTTCTAGAGCATCGTCGTAATTTTGAGCAGAAGAGAAAACAGCATTATAATGAATTTGAAATTGTTAGACAACGAAGAAAAGAAATTGAAGCAGAATTAAAAGCAATTGAACAACTAGAACAGTACGTCATTCAGTACAAATATTAGCCTACTGTTGATGGGTTTTTTTATTGTAGAAATAGTCCAGATTCAACCGGTAACACTGCAAGTCACATAAAACCCACAATTTTATCATCTCATCCTCCAAAAGAGTCTACATCATCATCCGCTTCTCATCACATGAGAACAGATGATATCGATTATCATCCACCGACAGCCGAAGAAGAAGGTAGGTCATGATATGTCTTTTATCTTACGTACTAGACTACACTCCTGTGCGTGTTTTATTTAGAAAGGCGGAGAACATTTGAGCAAAAACGAAAAGAACACTATAACGAGTTTAAAACGGCAAGAATTCGCGATAAAGAAGAGACGAAGAGGTAAATTTAACTCTACTATTCCTTATAATGTGCTATTGTATAGTTTTTCTCTTCACACATTTATAAACTTCACTCATTTGTAATCAGATGTATGTTGATCTCTGAGTGGAAGGATATGTTTTTGTTAAATTTACTTTTGTTTCTTCTTAAACAAGCGAAACAATATATTTATTTTGTGAGTATCTACGTAAAAATTTAGCAATCAGGAGGTCGTATCACGAAAAACTTAAGTCACACTTAACAGTATTTTCATTTCTCATACTCCTAGTCTACTTTATCAGTCTGTGCATATGTGTGTGCAAAAGAGAGATGGTAGCGTTTATTGTTGTGTCAGACTAGTAATGTTTTTTTTGTTTCATAATGTAATCTTTTTTCTTTCTCTCTATAATCCTTCTTGATATAAATGTTTGTATTTTTCAAGTTCTTTCATGAATGTAGCGAACAGAAATGTATATATTTACTCGTTGTATATTTTCTGCTACAAATGTTCCTCAGTTTAAGCAGATGTTAATATAAAAAAATGAATATGTACGATTCCAAAACGAAGATGACTGCTCATCAGAATACTATAAATCAAACATTCTTCTCGTCTTCACTTTCAAACCTGACACTGACGGTCTATATTTATGACCTTACGTTTTTGGTAGCCGTTAACAGACTATTATGGGATATGCCGAAAGTTTGTTTTCAATCCATCATGCCTGGGAATCGAACGAAAAAAGAATGAAGTTTCTACCATGAAAAATGGTTGAGATATTTAGGAAATTTCATCTATCAAGCAATTTTTTCTAATATTCCTATTTGAACTTTCAATATTGAAAGAAATTTTCTGTCCTTAGTAGCCAAGAATAAAAATGTCAACACGGATTAATTAAATGAAGCTCCGTATTGACGCTTTTGACAGAAAAATTCTTTTTCAATATTTTAAAAAATCCTTGAAATATGGACTAGAACATGGTCAAAAGTACCTGTGATTTTAGTTTATCATAAACTTTCTCTCTTGTTAGCAATTAAATGCCAGTTTTCGCATATGTTAAAGATACCGGTATTATTAACAACTTTTACACTCACAGTAGTATTAAAACCGATTTTGGGAAGTCTGTACAGATTCTTCTTTGGACCCTCCAGGTATCTGGACGGATTGACTCTTTTTACCTCATTAAAATGAATGAGTGACTCTTTTTATCCTAAAGACAAAAATTTTAAAAAATGACACGTTTTATTATGGTCTAATTAGCTTAATGAAGGTAACAGATGTGAAGGTTAAAATTATATGGTTCGATAAACAGTTTCCATGTATATGAATGGATTGACTCTTTTTATCCCATTGACATAAGTGAGTTGATTCTCTTTTACCCCGTGTAGGATAAAAGAGTCAATCACAACCACTCGACTCCCATTTGAATATATCTCAGAAAAAAAACATGAATTTTCAAGAAATTTTTGCACTAGTGTGTACATAATTACCGTCTCTGCCAACGTGGTTAAGGCCCACCCCCACCCAAAAATCCATTTCTGCTTACGAGCATCCGATCTTAATGAAACTTTCAGAGATGGTGTATCTAGATATGATGACCTCACAGTAAAAATTTCAGCTTGAAATATTAAATCTGTCAAGAGCTAGCTTACAATTAAGGTCCAAAAATGGGTCCTCGTTCGTCCCAGATTTCTCTGCCATTTTTAACGTTAGAGAGCTCGGGTTGGTTTTAAAATGTAGCTAAGATGTAGGGCTACAACTTAACAGAGGCCGATTTTTTAATTTCTCTGTAGCTCATTTTTATAGAACTTTTACGTCACGGTGTAAAATTACTGGAGTGTAGGATCTCAAACATTTTCTCTTCATCTGACGTCAATTCTGAAATCGAAGAATCGGGCTCTGTTAAGTTGTAGTGGCAGGTCTTAGCTGTGATTTAAAACAATCCCGAGCTTTCTAGCTTTCAAAATGGCGGAGAAATTTGCGACACACGAAAACGTAAAACCAAAAAATCTCATTTTGAGAAAAACGTAAAATAACGAAAAAATGTCGTCTTTTCCGGTAGAGGTTTTCAGAAAAACCTGTGTGAAACCCTTAAAACCCATCGTAAAATTAAGAAACTATAGTGTATTCAATAGCGGACGTGATGTTCTATCAAATACGCTATTTTAAAAAAAATCGATAAATTTCACCAAAATAACCTTTTTCTGAGTGGGGGGTGGGCCTTAATACCGGATTTATTCAGTTGAAGATGGATGAGAAATGGCGAAATTACGAAGAAAATTTCATGCACTAACTGTTTTTATCCTACAGTACTATATAAACTTAGAAAATAATTGTAAATACTTCTAGTTGAACAAATTTGGTAGTCATACATACGTCTGCTGTACGAAAACAGTGTATGGCTGCAGAAAGATAGATGGAACAAGGTCTTGTTCGAAATTTTCCAAGTAAATTTACTTGGATAAGTCCACAAATACTGTCCTCATTACTTAATCTAAGCTCTTGGCCCAAATACATTCACTAGAATAGCTAGTCAACTGTACATAAACCAATACAGCGTGAGACGCTAAAACTGTTTTTTGCAGGATACTTTACTATCACATATGATTGGATATATCTAAATCTTTTATTGTCAAAAACCAAAAATATAAATACGAAAAGGTACCCACAAATGTTTTATTTGTTTTATGAAATGGTTTTAATTATCGCTGAGCTTTGATATTTTTTTTCTTCTAACGATACTTTTTCAGCATTCTGATTAATATAATCTTGTACCAGATGTGCACTACGTTGTCAGTTAAGTAATTAAAAATTAATGATATCCAATAACCTCTAACATTCATTGTGATGGTGAACATGAAAATACAAGTTAATGGCAAATCAATTAAAGATATCAATATTGCTGTTTATATATGTTGTTTACCGCTACAATATCATTTTGAGTTTAATGAAAAAAGGTATTGCTAGGATCCAACAGCATAAGGCACCATAAAAATAAGTTAATCGTAACCAGATATCTTTTTAAGATGGCTTTAGAATTTCGAAATAAGAATTGTACCCAACTTAACATTTTTCGCATATAATTTTAAATTTTATGTAAAATATTTTCCAATTGTCACACCAAAATCAAAACTTTCTAATAATAATTGAAGTATATACATTGAATATGCGCCATCAACATGTGCTATCGATAATATAATACTTTCAATGTAATAATTGTGTGAAATTAATTAAAACCTGCTTTTCATCAGTATTGCATTGAAACCTATTGATAACCAGTAATTAACTTTTTGCTATAGCTGCTCTCACTTTATTTTATATTAATCAGAGTACGATATTGATAGGTATCAGTACCACATTGTCGTGTCATAATCATGCGGTACCGTCTAAACAGTTCTCTCATGAGAAGGAAAAAAGACATTCAGGATATTACAAGCACCCTAATGCTTATATAAATAGATATTGACAATACAAAACATTAATTCAAAGAAAAATCTGTTATCAATGCGGATCCGTACCCAGAAAAATTCACTTAGCATCAGTGGCTGCTCATGCCGCACTAGTATGTAATAAAAATTATTTTTTGTAAATTATATGATCTCCAAATATAGGTTATTGAGCGTATAGACATTTTACGATAGTATAAATTTTGACTTGATAGACTTGAAGAAATACTTAATAAATTTTTATTAACGTGAAGAAAAAAAAAGTTCATCAATTGAATTTAATGAACATTTAAAAGAATCCACACTAAATCAATTATATAAATCATTTGTTTTTCCAATAATAGCATACACATCATACGCGTACGTCAACAAAAATAATATCTCCCTTTCGAGCAGTTGCAATTAGGAATAGCATATTCCTGTTGCTGGTAACAGTAATCTTTCATGCATTCCTATTACTAATAACAGTAATACTAAACAGTATTCCTATTTCCAGTAACAGACTGTTACTGGAAATAGGAATACTGTTTAGTATTACTGTTATTAGTAATAGGAATGCATGAAAGATTACTGTTACCAGCAACAGGAATACCGTACAGTATTACTTTCATCGGTAATGTAATACATAAGTAACAGTAATACTGCCACCCCCCGTTACAATACAAAGCATCACTGTCAGTTAGTGGTGTATTGCATTTAACAACTCAGATTAAAATAAAAAATATTTTAGGATGAAATAAATTTGAAACAACGTTTAACAGAATTAAACTAAAACTTCTACATGAAATAATCTATCAAAAAAAGCATCATCATTTTTGTTTGTAAATATGTAAAAGTGATGTGCGATTCAACTCACAATACAAGATCTAATAATCATAATAAAATAAAATTTATCTATGATAAAAGTAAAAGTCTTTTTTTCTCATGCAACATGAATGTGGAATCATTTATTTGCTGAACTCTGTCAGGTAAATAAATTAACAGCATTTAATAAAGAATTATTAAAATCATTTGAGTCAATGCCCAAAAAATAGTTATCAGAGCAAATAGAATAGCTGATATTGCGTTCCATCAGATGAGATGTGATTTTTTAATATTCAGATTCGAGTTGTTAGAAAGACATGTTCTCAGGAACACAAATGACGAACGCTATGACTGTTTACAAAGCGAAACAATCGAACATCTTTTTCTCTTTTGTCCAAAATCTTATGGATTAACAAGTAGACAGTATGAAAAAGCATTCTTTTGCGAGTCTAAATAAACTTTATTTTTCTGTCGGTGATATGATATATAAAACACGAATAATCCATTCAAAAATGATGTCAATCAATGGATTTTATCTCTTAAACTTCAATTATCTTGACGCCAAAGGTCATCATCAGTGAAACAAAATCACGTTTATCCGCCCTGCATCTATAGCCGTAATCGAAGTGCATAACAGCTTTAATAATAATGATCTATAAAACTGCGAAAACCTGCCTATGGCTTTTTTCAGTAAAAGTGTAATTGCATACTTTTGAATTTAGAAAGGATGTTCTTTAGTTAAAAGGAGGTTTATTTCGCAGTTCTCAACAGCTGGAGTCATTGTCAGCATCAACCAATCATTTTTATCAATAATAGCGTCTTTGTGTTACGCACGTTACGTGTGACTCGTGTCCTTTAACGAAACATCGGTATAGACAAACTAGAAGCAAAGAAAGAAATCAACGATCCACATATTGTCTTAAGTTTCTCTTTCATTTTTCAAGATGTAAGATCTAAAAAACTCTTTTCTAAAGTTTGGATTAATTACAAAGAGTCTCCTATTATATATTCAGCATTTTAATGCGAATTTTTAGCAAAGTGTACATCCGTAGAATACCGTCATATTCTAACCTACTTTTTAAGCTTCTTTATAGTGAAAAGACAATGTACATTCAAGTTTTCGAGTGCTTTGCTTCTGCTATGTACACTTATTAAAAACACTCGGTGTATTTCTGATGTTCTATCTAGTTGTCACTTTCTTGCCTGACTTCTTTTGAAGCTTGCAATATTTTAGTAAACTTAATTGGACAACACAAAGTATTTTACTCTGTATCCAACAGCGTAGAAGGTGGAAGAACAGATCGAAAGCAACACACAAATCACATTCACACGAAAAATGGAATAGGGCCTACGAAGTTGCATCTGCGAGAGAAACGTACAGACTAATTACCAAAAGTAAATGCGCAAGAGTTCTAATTCCTGATTCTATGCAGCATATGATGCTCGTGTTTGCCCTTTCACTGTCTCTTCCATGTTGATCATATTTCTTGGGCATATCAAGATCTTGTTTTCTCTGTTCCAGTAGAAAACGATATTATTAGTATATTTCACTCTTCGAGGGTAAGAAAGTCAGTGAAGAGCTTAAAACTTTTGAATGTTTTATACTTGAAAGCGGTGGTCTAACTTTTGTAGTTTATTGGTGAACGTTTTGATATGATTCGTTATGTGATACATTTCATTATTCAAAGTTTTTATCATTTTCATCTGTGTTTAATTTAGAAAAATTTAAAGGTATCGATCGATCATTTTGAACGCAAATGACAAATGTACAATTTATTCCGAATGCATCTGCTTTAATGCTTGTTGAAAAGGATGTTGATAAAGCTATTGAATCAGGTAAGAACAAAGAATTCTAAAATTATTCATATTGTCGTTTTTTCTCTCTTGAAGTACTAGAATTTTATGATACAACAAACGCAAACATTGATTCAGTTATCGAACAGTTACAAAAGACAATCAATGACATTAAAGAAACATGCGAAAATCAGAAATGTGCAACAACAACCGCACAATCACTGAACACAAATGATGTCGTCGCAAGTGGTCTTGGAAATATGTTAGCAACAACACAATGTATTACTAGAATGAAACAGTCAACAAAATATTACAGTGATAAACATAAAGATTTGCATGCTTGTATATCAAAAATTGGCAAAACGGTTGATAAATATTTTCAATCTGATTTTGGTAATGTGCCAATTGTTGAATTGTTTGACACTACCGATAAATTGAAATATATTTATATGATCATTTGTGAAGATCTATATCGACACGGACGTATGTCAATAGCTAAAAAATTAATAGAAGAAACAAAGTTAAATGATAATGAACTATTTAACATTGAGCAAACAATTTTGGAAGAAATTAATTATGTTTTAGAAAATATACGTGAAAAAAATTTACAACCAGCTCTCGATTGGTGTAAACGTAATCGTGAACAACTATTGAAAACAAACAGTCTCCTAGAATTTTATTTACATAAAATGAGATTTTTACAATTATTAACTGAACAAAATTATGTTGATGCAAAAATATATATGTCGAATTTCAGTCAATATATTCGAATGAATAGTGAATGTGAAAAAGTTGTTAAAGAATTAATGGGCGCATTTGTCTTTGCACAACGTGATCTCTCAAAATCACCGTATAAGTATTTGTTGGAACCACATCTCTGGTTACAATTATCAGAATTATTTATGAAACAAGCATTTCAACAGATGGGTTTATCACAAGATAGTCCATTATGTGTTGTCATGAAAACTGGATTCAGCGCATTGCCAGCTTTGATGAGGTGAGTTGACTACATTTCTCGTTTTAACTAGTAAAATTGAATGTTTTGGTTCATCGATGCTTTTTGAAAAACGATTTTGTTGTGAAGTTAGGTATATATATTATTCATTTTCTATTCTATTTAGCATTGTAAATGCAATGCAAAATACCCAAGTTTGTCATATATTATCAAAAGATGAATTACCAATTGAAGTTGACGTTGGCCAAGATCACCGTTATCATAGTGTATTTGCTTGCCCAATATTAAGACAACAAACAACAGATCAAAATCCGCCAATGAAATTAGTTTGTGGACATGTTATATCAAAGGATGCGTTATCAAAATTAACAACGCAAACCAAATTAAAGTGTCCGTATTGCCCGATGGAACAGAATCTAAGTGATGCAAGACAGTTATTTTTTTGATGAAAAAAAAAGAAAAGACTACTCAACAAGCGTGTCGTATGTATATGACAATCGAGTTTATTTGAAAATATTTGGAAGGATAAAGGTGTACTAGCTGTTAGTAGAAGCTTTTTATTTTTCTCAAGCAGTGAACGTCTACGTTATTAGGACACAAATTTTGTTCAAATCTAATTTATATAATAGTGGCACTTAAGAATCAGATCAGATGCTTCCTGTACGACGAGGAATAAGCACAGAGCGAAACAGTATCTACGGTGCTTTGAATGAGAAGAGAATAATAATCTTGTTGTATAGAATCGATGATGGTAGATTCAGCAGATTTAGTTCTGTAATGAAATTGAAACAGAATGATGTAAACTGTATTCTACTCGGTTATTGAATCTATTTTATACGTATCCACTTCTTTTTGAAGTCGAAAAGATTTATATGAGTAAGTTCTGTAATTACATTTAAATAATTTTGATAAATCTTCGTGGCTTTTTTTAAATTATTTTTCCGTATGTAATAAGCCTCGGATCTCTCTCATGTGTTTACTTTACTGTTTAGTAAAACGTGCCATGTTTACTTTTATCATAAATGTACATCTGTATATAATGATTTCTAGTTTATTTTGTCTTTAATAAAAGTTTCTTATTTTTGATTTAAGCATACTGCCAACGTTCATACACGTTCTGCAAAATTTAGTGAGAATGTTACAAGAGACGTTTAGTATATTTAATCAAAACTATCTGTTAATAGTTTTCTTTTAGATTTTCTCATATTTTCACAACATTTTCTAGCAAACATAGTTGCTTTCTCTGGAGATAATGTATCGTAAACAGTTTGATCCTCTTGATTATAATTTACCGAGTGATTTTCGTTTAACAAAATTTTCTGATCTAAAAGGTTGACAAGGAACCGTTCCTCGAGATGTTAGTCACCGACTACTCGAGGGACTAAATCGAACCGATAATAACGGTTATGGTGACCAAAGAACAACGTTTACGCCAGATGCAAAACCAACGCCAGTCATAGGTAAGATTTGTTTTTCTGATAAATAATTTGTATCAATGACTCCTCTTACTTTTTAGGAACTAGTCTTGATTCCTGTGTTATTCCATTACGCCATGGTGGTCTATTTCTTGTACAAACAACTGATTTTTTTTATCCATTAGTGGATGATCCGTATATTATGGTAAAATAATGCCTTTATGTTTTGAGCTCAATAGCTGGATGTAAATTTGTGGTTATTTTAGGGCAAAATAGCATGTGCGAATGTGTTGAGTGATGTGTATGCAATGGGTGCAGTGAATATCGATAACGTGTTAATGTTAGTTAGTTCAAGTAATAAAATGACAGAAAAAGAACGGGATACTGTTATGCCGATTATGGTACAAGGGTTTAAGGTATCCAAATTTTTAATCTATTTTCAGCCGTTGAGCATTTTCCTAAAACAAAAAACATTTTAGGATTGTGCTGAAGAAGCGGGCACGAATGTTCAAGGAGGACAGACAGTAATTATTAATCCTTGGTTAGTTGTTGGTGGAGTAGCAACCTCTATTTGCACACAAAATGAAATGATAATACCAGAGAATGCTGTTGTTGGCGATGTACTTGTTCTCACAAAACCACTAGGCACACAAGTAAGCTATTTTTTTTCCATTTAAATGATTTGTCAGTATATGTTATCTTTTTAGGTTGCAGTAAACGCACATCAGTGGCTTGATTTACCAGAACGTTGGAATCGTATTAAACTAGTTATAAGTGAAGAAGATGTGAGAAAAGCTTATCAACGTTCAATGAATAGTATGGCACGATTGAATAAAATTGGTAAATTTGCAAACGCGTGTCTAATAATTTACGATTATTGTTTTCTGTTTTTATAGGTGCCACTTTAATGCATAAATATAATGCTCATGCAGCAACAGATGTCACTGGGTCTGGTATATTGGGACATGCACAAAGTTTAGCCCGACTTCAAAAACATGATGTTACATTTGTCATACATAATCTTCCGATTATTGCAAAAATGGCAACTGTCAGTAAGGCATGTGGTAATATGTTTGGATTATTACAAGGAAATAGTGCTGAAACATCAGGTAAGTGTGCAGTTGATAATTTTTGTATTAGTGTATCATTTGTTTTTTATCTTTTGTAGGTGGATTATTGATTGCCTTGCCTCGAGAACAAGCGGCATGTTTTTGTAAAGAAATTCAGAATCAAGAAGGGTATCAAGCATGGATAATCGGTGTTGTTGAAAAGGGAACACGTACAGCGAAAATAATTGATAAACCTAGAATAATTGAAGTACCAGCAAAAGATACAGAAGGTGAATTGTGGTAATCAATGGAATAGTGAACAAAAAACTGATTCTCTATTAGTCAGATAATAACAAAACAAGTGGTGATCTGCACATGTTTATTTTGGTTCATAGCTGTTGTTTTTTGACTTTTGTCTCTTTCTGTGGCGTAAATGTACAATGTAAATATTTTATTTCAAAACAATCTAGACTGGCGTAATTAACACAACATTTGTACAAATAACTGGCGTAGTTTGTACACTATGTATGTGTTTATTTTTTTGAAGAAGAAAAAAAATTGATTATTCATTCTATTTTCTGTTCATACTTGCTGTTTTGTTTATTATGAAGTTTAGTTGTGAAAGTAACAAGAACCTGTGTATCTTGTTACAGCGTCTAAACCGATGTTTTTCTCAACTTCAATGAATGAAAGATTGTAGATGTATTTTATCTTTTTTTTCTTCTGTCTATTAAACTTCGTGTTAGGAAAATAATTTTAAATAGCTAAACAATGTTATTGTTTATTTTCTTTTATTGTGTATAAAAAGAATACATATAATTCTAAAATTGGTTATGATGTGCGGAATATGCGCAGATTTAAACAAGGCTAGTGCATACAAGGACCGGTGTCTCTCAGTTCCTAGAATTCATCCGTTACTTTAGTTTCTTTGATGTTTATATTTCCACTTCTGACTCTTGCGTCAGAGATTATGAATTTTGTTTGTTTATAATTTATAAATTTATAGAAAAAGTGTAAATTATATTTGAAACATTGCTTTCCAGCCTATACATATAATCGATGTAAGCGATTGATCATGGCTTACAGAGATCGTAGTATCTGGATTGGGTTTCCTAAGAGTTCCCTGACTGTGATAGAAAATGTCCTATGAAAATCTCAAAAATAATTGCAACATTGGTTATCGATCACGCTGAATCTTGTGGCAATGTTTTTTTTCATTAAAATTTCAAAAACTTAGCGAAAATCTACTTTAGATTTTAGGCTACATCTATGTAAAACGGAGAAATTGGTAGCTCACTCAAAATCGGTCCAAGATTCAAAATAAATTCAACTTTAGCTGTTTTACACGTTGATAAACTCAAAGGTGCTGCAATCCTATGTTTCAGGCGTTTTTAAGATTCCTACATATCATCTCATTTTTGGACAGGCAATGTGCTTCAATTTTCAGCTTTCAGTTGCTATTCATGTTATCCGTTTTTTTATTGACCAAAACAACCTAAGAACTTTACGAAAATTATCCCAATTTTTGTGATGGGGCAGAATCTAATACAGGAATTTTTTCTATGTTGATTTTCCTAATTCATGGAAGAATACAAGTTATCATACTTTCGTTTTATTGTATTTTTCGCTCTTACAATGTCTGTGGCTCTCATATAGAAGAACTTATACCGGAGCGAATATTTACCAACAATGAAATTCGGATTGTTGATTATTTTTAAAAAAACATTTTATTATTCCCCTATGCTAGAACATGTCGTGGCATGTGTAGTATCGGAGTGATCTTGTCCAGAACTCAACCATATAAAATATGATTATATTCGATCTGTAACTGGAATCACGAACAGACTATTAGTATTTAGATTTGAAGTGTGTTTTTCTTAAGATTAATTGCTTTTTCATTCAAGTTTTTCTCTATCATGCTTTATCCTATAGGAAAACATATTTCGATCGTTTATTGACGATTAGGTAGCTATATGCCAGTGTTTGCTTAAGGGCTCCTCCCTCAGAAATTATCTCCGACACCGTGCATCCGATCTTGACGAAACTTTCCATAAATGTTCGGCACAATGAGTTACGGGAATGAAAAAATTTTTTTGTCTCCAAGTTTTACGATTTAGGAGTTTTCCAGAGATCAAGGTCCAAAAAGGACCCTGAACGGCGTTCCAAGATTTTTTAATATACTTCAAGCTGGAGAGTTCGGGTTTGTTTTATTTTAAACTAGACATCTAACTACATCGACTGACCGGCGCCGATTTTTCAATTAAGTCTTTATTCGTTTTCCAGGCAACCAACAACCTCCGAAACCCGAAAAATCCTTCCGGATTTTCTAAAAATCCTCAGTTTGACAAAAAACTAAGACCTAATTCAAAAATCGACGCCGGTCAGTCGATGTATTTTTTTTCCTCTTTAAAACAAAAGAATGAACTCTGTACGAAAAACCGCTATTAAAAATCTTGGGATCCACTGCAGGTGTAACTCTTATATAGCGAAAACGCTGTATGAAATAGTCGATTTTATGACTTCTAGGAAAATGCCTGTAACTTTTTGACGCAAGGTCATACAGAGTTGTGCGCAGTCTTATTTTGATCAGAAACGTTTGCTCTACAAAGCTGTGTTTTCAGAAAAATTTTAATTGCATAAGTATCCAGGAAAAAA